AACCTTTGCCAACCCATTCTTAAAAGGTTGACTTTTGATGTACTTGGTGTAGACCCGATCTATTTTGATTCTTTCACAATGTAGTAAAATAGTATACTCTTCAATTGTGGGTGCCATGTCTTCCTGATTGAATGTAAAACAGTTGTACCTCAGATTCCAAAATTGCACTAAGACTCGAATTAGGGGGCTCGTCTATCTTGACATAGAGTAGAAGCGCGATATCACCTTATCGCTGACAGAATCTCTATTTCTTGTCATTTTTCTAGCTGTCCCAAATGCTCCACAACTCTTAAACATCACTCTTTAAGGCTGACAGAAGCATAACCAACCAGTTATGACACATAGTTACCTTGCAGACTGTCTCCCTTTTCATTATGAGTCTTCTCTGACCATAGTCGGACCTCTGCATTTTTCACCACTTGCATTACAACCCCTTTTTCAATTAATGAAAACTATTCGTGTTTAACGAACACTTTTTGTGGATTAACACATCTTTAAATGATGCAAATGGAAAAAATAAAAGAGAACAACAAATGAAAAGGAAACAAATTAGTAAGATAAAAATAATAATACTACAGAAAATAAAAATTCCTACCTCACATGATATCTACCCCATATGATTTTATTCTTACCCGGACATGATCTCTATCCTGCATGTTAATTTTTTGAAAAAATCCTAACGCCATATATTTCTAGTTCGCATGCTTTGAACAGAAAATAAAGCATGAAATAACTCAAGCATCCTAGGTTTTGAAATAGAGTTTTGAGATAGGCTTTAATTCCTTGCAGTCTCCCGGTTTAGGTTCTAAAAAGGTACCCGAGTTCTCCTTACTGGTGCCCCTTGGGCTTGCCAGACCCTCAGTCCTAAGCCCATTACAAGCTTATGTGGACCAAGTTAAACTCGAAAGGACACATTTCCTTATGTTTTTACAGAGAATAAATTCACACGAAAAAGGTATATGAATCCTAAGGTTACTTGCTAGGTCTGTACGGAGAATAAATTCCACGGAGGTGTCGCTTTCACCTTCATTTACAAAAAGGTTTAGAGCTCGGGTATAGAGCCTGAGAGAAATTTTAAAAAGTTGAAATCATTGAAAAACATCAGTACAACTATTTATTTGAACAAAATAATCAAAGATAAATAATAAGGATCGAATAGATAAATTAAAATTTAAACTTACAATTGTATCTTAAGAAGACAACCTAAAATTAATTTTGGCCTGACTCACTTACCTGTCCCCAGCAGAGTCGCCAAGCTATCGTAACCGTCACTCGGGTGGGCCCGAATCGGGCTTCGACTTAAATAAAACATGTTAGAGCCACCACCGATCATTTATTTAGAAAAAATTTAGGTTGACCGAACACCTTAATTTATCACCTTACCAGATTTGCGGTTTACCAGAAATATGTCAGATTCGAGAGTCGATTACAGTCAAGGAAGGACTAGCACCCTTATACTGCCCTTTCGACACTAATTTAATTTTCTGATTGTCTTAATTGCAAAAATTAAAAGTTAAATTAAAATTTAAAAGTTCGATTCGAACTACTTACCCTTTAAGGATTTGAAATTGACCTAGAAATAAATCAAATCCGTTTTAAATTAAAGTAAAACAAAATTAAATTAAAATATAAAGCAAAAGAAAACTTTAAATTAAAGGATTTAAATGCAACAAATTTAAAATTAAGGACCAAATTGACATTATTTGAATGTTGCAAGAAAAAATAAAAAGTCAAGAGGGGTCAATTTGCGAAATATAAGAAAGTTAAACAAGGATTAAATTGAATAAATTCAAAATTTATGGGCAAATTTACAACAAGTGACTTAAACAGATTACATCAAAATCTCATAGACTGAGGAAATAATTTAACTATTTCATAATTGCACAATGGGTCTCGCTATAAATATCCCTTAAAACCCAAAATATCATTCATTTTCACTCATTTTCCAAAATCAAAACCATGTCCCTTCTCTTTAACTCTCTCCTCACTTCTCAATCGGCTTATGACCGGTCGAACTTCGGTGGAGCTCTATCGGCGCCATCCACTACCTCTAATGTCCAAAAAACCTAAAACTACCCAAATATTCTTCTCTAAGCCCCGAACCCAAAATCAAGCAAAATAGCTTAAAAACAACCACAATGACGTAGATCTAAAAGTAAAACTTTCGGATCTTTACCTTTCCTGACGAACTTTCCAACTTCCGATGGCTTCTTATTTTTTCGACGGGACTCTCACGTTTTCCCGCCGACCTTTGATGAGGCAAAGCTTTTGTCTTTTGTTTTTGATTTCGAACGTTTGTGGCCTTGTTTTTTGATATTTTTGGCTTGGTTGCTTTCGGTTTTAGCCGAATGTTGTTTGTGTTTGGTGGTTTTGGGTAGTTATGATGATAATGCTTCATTTTTCTTATTGTGGTTTCTGTTCTTTTCGTTTTTCTCTGGGATTTTTCTTGTATTGCTAGTATGTTCTTCGTTTCGCCGGAGGCTTTTATAGCCTTGGATTTGGCCATTGTGGTCCCAAAAATGACGGGATTTGTGGGTTATTGCTTCGATTTGTGATTTTTTGGGTTATTCGTGGTTTGTGTTTTACCAGAGATCTCGGGATGGTTTGGTCCCAAGTTGTCTGGCCGAAAAACTCGGCCAGTTACTGGTGCGTGACCTCTACGCGTTGCACGATGACCGTTGGGGTCTTTTTTTGTGTCATAGATCGTTGGATCAATTGATTCGATCCAACGGTTGCCATGAATGTGACACATTTGCTAAATGTTGAAACCCTAGCCTTTGCAGGGTCAGGTAGACGGGCCTAGGCTACTGGGTCTCCACCGGACTTGCTGGGTCAGGCTTTACTCTGGACCCTATTATGGACTTGAATTTAATTTAGAATTGGACCTAAAGAATAAATCAAAAAATATATAGTAATAATATAATAAATATAAATAATAAATAATACTATAATATATAAATAATATATATACTATATTTATTTTAAAAACTATAAAACATATATTATATTTTCAAAAACCATTTTAAAAACTATATACTATATGTTTTCAAAAATATTTAAAATATATATATATATATATTATATGTTTTCAAAAATACATTTTTTCAAAAACTATATTATATATACGTTTTCAAAAATATTTTAAAAAACTATATATTATATATGTTTTCAAAATTGCTTTCAAAACTATATATTATACGTTTTCAAAAACGTGTTTTCAAAACCATATTATATATATTTTCAAAATCTGGTTTTTTTTAAAAACTATATATTATATGCTTTCAAAAACTGTTTTCTAAAATTTATATGTTTTTCAAAAATATTTTCAAAAACTATATTATATTAATATATATATATATATATATATATATATACTAAATAAGCTCCGTACAAAAATGTGTCTACAATAACTTATATTTTTTATATTATAATTAATATTATTAAATCGTTCTAAAAGATAAAATTGATTAATCATTAATGACAATTAACATTGTTGTTAATTGGCCAATATCCCTACTTAAATAGATTATCTCCAATTAAAGTCAAGGAAGATGATAAGGTGTGCTAATTATCAAACCTCAAGTTTTTAATATTAACCTTAAACAAATGGTGGATGTTAATTAACATCAATGGATTATCATATATGTAGTATTCAACTACCCTAATTTTTGTCATTTTGTTTCTGTTTTCAAAAGAGATGTAAAGTTGGTCCCAACATGAAATAAAGAAGAAGAAAAGATGAATATGGTGTCCTCTTCGGCCATTGATTATCTCCTCTTCATCCACAAATCAGAAGGCCAGAGCATAAAATCATAAAAAAATTATGAACAAAGAGAAATTTGCTAGCTTGTTGAAATTATGGCCGACCCATTGTGCTGGTGGCTATTACCTACAAAAGCTAGCATATAGACTATGACATGGGAATGAAAATGACAGAGACAGGGACATCATATCCCTTGTTTGGATTCATTAACTCATTTTCGTGGCTTTTTTACTCAGATATTACCTAATAAAAATATTTTTTTTATTTTAATACCTATACTTGATTACTTCCCGAATTAATATTTTTTACAAGTTTTTTTAGGAAGAGTCTTTGTCGACGTGGTAGAAAACACGTTTTACGAAAAACATTTTTTATTGAAGTTGATTGGATTAGGCTGAATTGAAAGAAAATGAAAGAATTGGGTTAAAAATATAGAAAAAAGTATATGAATTTTTTCGGGAAAAAATAATGCATGTGCTATATGGTAAATATAGATAATTGCAAGAGCATGTGTTGAATAATGATGATGTTGCATGTGTATTAATGTTATATTTAATTCATTTAATAAATACATATTTAAAATATTATATTTAAACACCTGTAAAATATTATGTTTACATAATATGGTTGTTGAGAAGTTTATGGAGAGGGGTTTAAATCTCATATTAATTTGATGCATGAGTTTACAAATATTTAAATATAATTTTTTAAACTTATATTTATTGAGTAACTAAACATAAGGTTAATACATATGTTTCGTCATCGTCAAGTGACTTGCGCTCTTATAATTATGTGTCTTTAATCGCGTGCATTTATTTATTTTTGGATAAAATTCATATATATATATTTATTTTTAGTCAATTTTCTTTTATTTTATTTCAACCCAATTCGACCGACTTCAGTAGAGGATAATTCTTTTAGAATGCCTTTATTTATGTAACAAAAATGTTATGAATTTAAAAATTAATCAATTTTGAGTGTCATATTAGAAAATATTTTAATGATGCATATCTATATTATTTCTAATGTTCATGTACTAAAACAAAATTAACAGTTAAATTAAGTTATTTAACAATAAACTGCAAGTTGATGATATTGAGAATATAAAATGGCATGGGGAAACAGGTGGGGTCCAAGAGGAGTTGTCGGGTTGTGTTAGAGGGCAGTGCACGTTACCCTTTCATGCCCATCGTTGGGTTTACTCGACCAATATTTAACCCACCACCCCATTTCCTTCCTATAAGAACCCCATCTCCCACATCGCCTCCATCACTTCATTTTCTCTCTGCATTCAATCAAAACTACTCAGCATCAGTCAGCTCGTACAGACATGAAGATGAGCAGTGCTACCATGGGATCCTCAAAGAGAAGGCTATCAAGCAGAGGCCCTGGAGGTGTTCTCCGAGAGCAAAGGGCTAAACTTTATATTATTCGAAGATGTGTTGTTATGCTCCTTTGTTGGCATGATTGAATTTGAACCCCACCCCCCTTTTGGGGACTTTTTTCCCCCTTTCTTTCTTTCTTTCTTCTTGTTTTGGTGGAGTGTAAATACTGGCGGCGGATGTTATCGGAGAGTTAGAAAGGAACAATTTTTGTATGCATTGGCCTTGTGGCCTACATGTAAATTAGATAGCTTGAATTGAATCTTCAATATATTAGTTTATTATTTAATAATTCTTTTATATCTGCTGCTCTGTGTCAAGAATTACTTCATATGTTTACAGGCTTACCCTAATCACTTTTGATGGGGTTAGAGCCCTCTACCTTAAAGGTCAAAGCAATTGAACTTTAACTTACATCACTTTTCATTTGGATTAAGTGGAAATAGAAGTAGAGAGATTAATAAGCTTCCCAGGATCTCAAAATTGGGATGCAACTAAAAATCCATGGGTTTTGTTAGATGATAAATTCATGGGGATTGTTAGCCCTAGGGCTTTTGCCCAATTTGTCAAGTCTTTTTGACTGCCTTTTCATGAACTGCTCCAAGTTGTAGACAATAGGGCTGGTTGCACTAGTTGTGCATGCAAATGGAAATGCCCATAGGGCCGAGGAAACAACTTAAGCAAGATTATTTCTTGTAATTTTACTCACTTCAATTACCAAAATAAGCTTACTTTTATCAATTATATGTCATCTTACTCACTTTAATTGCTAGATAAGCATACCTTACCAATATATGTAAGGTTAAGTAGTAAAAAAGCTCCATACTATAAGATCTTAATTTTGAGTTAAGAATATATTGGGTTAAACGTAAAAAGCTCGATATTTCTTAATTTTAGTCTTAAAAAAATCCCTTTAGTCTTCTTAGTCATGTTATACCTTTAGTCTCCTTAGTCATTTACACACCGCCCTATCACGGAAGATTTTCTTTTAGAGAACGAATTTAAATTTATAACATTTTAAGGATGAACTTGAATTTATAAAATTTTAGGGAATGAAAATAAATTTTTAATAAAAATATATAGAAAAAATTTAAATTATATAATTTTAAATCTTAAGGGTGACAGCCACTCCTAGGTCCATCCCTCACATTGGTATATTGTATCCCATCCAAACTATCAACGAGTCTCTTAAGAAATTGCAAAATTATAAAGCATAAACTACGTATTTAATCAGCTAATTATTTTTGCAATTTCATTTTGATCATTCAATTATTCTTTTAAATCATATATAAAGTTACGTTTCAGTCACGTGTCATTAACAAATTAACAGTTATACTGATGTGTCATCATAAGGTAATGTCATTTCATCATTGAAAAAAGGGGAAAATGCCCCATCATGAGTTGTATTTTATAACGTGGTGACCAAAATTTAACTTTAAGTATGATTTAAGAAAAATAATTGGGTGTGGAACCATGAGAATAATTAAGTTACTAAATATACAATTTATCTAATTATAAACTAGCACAATGATAAAATTACACTTTTGACTCCAACAAATTATACTTCTATTCTAACCCCCAGAAGATCAACTTAATTTTAGATACGATTAAGATTTATAGAAATTTAATTCAATTTCATGTATAATAAAAAATTATGTAATTATCGCACATCGAAGTTATAAAAAAAATAGAACATACTCTTTGTTATGGGTTTTAATTGTAATGATTAATTATCAACGAATTTGAGTTGGGTGCTAGATAATTGACAATTACATTCCAGAAAAAATAAAAGAAATTGGGTTTTGTTTTATCATCATGTACCTTAATCCCAAAACTATACAAGAACATGATGAATGCTTTGACCAATCCTATATAAGTGCATTTTAGGAGGAAACAAACAACCGACTTAAAGTGGGTAAGAGATATTTCGTTACATTCATGTTTATGGTCATCATGATTCATGACCAACATAGCATAATAATGATGGTATAATGCACATTGCAAACTAGTTTAATTCTCCAATTATTTTTCACTCCAGGTCCCAAATTTGACCCTCCATATCAAGCTTAGTGGCTGTCCACTTAAACTACTAAAGTAATTACATTTGTTATGAGGTCACCATCATAACCCCCTTGTTTTAATTTTGTTGTCTTAGACCAAACAGCATTATCCCATGTTATATGAAAAGAATATTTTTTATCGATATTAATATCAATAAATTATTTGTTTATAGTAGATCGATAGAATATATTCAACCTTTATTTATGTGATATGTGTGAATTTATTGCATACATAGAAGTAGATTGTATGTTTCATCTTAATAATTAAGAAACAAAATTTAAAACCTTAAAAGTTCACTTTATGAACTCTATTCAAATTTCCTTAAATAATGCCCAAGTATTTTAAAAAAGTGGGTCAAAACTACATGTGGTGAGTTGAATTATTGGAGCACAACTCACAGCCCATGTTCACGTGCTCCACCCGAAAACCTCTCCCTCTTGTCTTTTTATGAACTCAAGGTAATAGGAATATGACAAGTCAGGTGGGCCATTTGTGTAAACTACACGTGATTGTCACATTAATTCACTTAGATGCACAAACCAAATTACTTTGGTAGCTAAAGTAATGATTATTATTTATAAGATTTTAGATTTAAATATTTATAAGATATTGAACGTAATTATCAAATGATTTTGATGAAGTTTAATATTACATATTTTTATTATTATTTATCCCTCATTTATCGCTTGGATATTATTGATTTATCTTTATTTTGAGTTTATTTTGGACATGAACTTCATGTATTAATTAGTCTAAAAATTAGTAGATTCGATGGTCCATTCAACATTTATAGAAGACAAGCAAAACTTCATTGAATATTTAATTTGGAATTTACTTGGGACAAGGCTATCCAGAATATTAAAAGAATTTAACCAAAAAACTTAAATATTATCTTTTACGATAAACCTTTTTAATTTAGGTTTTTAGTTTGATTATTCTATTATTATTTTAATTTAAATTAGTTGTTTTATTAGAACTCTTATTAGGGTTTTTAGTTTAATATTTTAGGAATGAGTTATTTTTTTTTGCTTAGAACTCTCAGATTATAATGACCCTTAGGTTCACAGTTGAAACTCATATTGGAATTTATTTTCCTTGGTTATGTATTGAAGTTCTATTTTCTTTCATCTCATTCTTTCTTTATTTCTTTATTTTTCATTATTTTCTTTTCACAATGCTAAGCATGGTCCAATCCATGCTTGGCTAAACTTATACTTAGTCAAAGGTTTTTGCGAAAATCAATTTCATTCGTGAGAATTGAATTTCGATCATCATACATTCATATTGTATTCTTAATTCTCTGGAAACTGGGAGTGGCAATCATCTTCTCTTAAAAGTTATTACACCTTCAACTCAAAAGGTGCAAGTTTATTTCAAGACTGTTTTGCTTGAAGTTTGGAAGTCGGATCGGTTTGTCGTAATTCGGCTTCCTGTGAACAAACTTAGCGGCGGTCCATTAAGGGGAATTAAGATCGAGTTTGACTCATGTTGAAACGCTATAACTCGAGTCGGGCTTTTCTAGAATTTAAAGTTATTTTAGATCTAACAACGATAGACGTGGCTAGACCAATAAAGATCGGATTTCGGAGATAGACTTGGAAATTTTGGTTAACCAGAGAGAGTTAACTACAGGGGTTGTGCCTTGTTGATTGTAACCGACGTAAGTTACGAAGGAAAATTTTATTTCGATGATCGATCGAAATTGAGGCTAAGCAAAACTTGTGGCTATATCATCTTTATTAAATTTTTCTACTTTATTTATTTTTCTCATTATTATTTTTTATTCAATATTTATTTATTTATTTTATTCATTTATTTTCATAATTTTAAATCTTCCTTTTTATTTTCTTGCAGTTGATTCAATCCGAGAAACAACATTATCAAATTTCTTAGTCCTTGTGGATCGACTATACTTCTTTATATTACTTTATTTATTTATTTATTTATTTGAGAATTATGAATTATTTTTATTTTGCAAATTCGACGCTTGTCAAATTGGTGCTGTTGTCGAGACTTTAGTAAATTCACTAATATTGTTTTTATTTTGATTATGACCAGGAAAAATCCAAGCAAATTAGTATATTGGATACCTGAGATCGAAACACTAGCACGAAGAATATACACACTTACATTATGAAAAGGCGACAGACAACAACATCACAACAATCCAAACTTAATCCGGAGATGCCATTTGACACAAAAACCTTCTTTGACTCCAAAAAAGACTTCGAAGAACCAACTCCAATGGATCAACAGACAATCCGAGAATTAGTTGCAACACCTACCGAACCAACACTGTTATGCATCACATTCCCACATTGAAAAACACCGTTTGAGCTCAAGACAGGGTTAATTCATCTTCTCCCTACCTTCCACGGGTTACCAAGTGAAAATCTGCAAAGAATCTCATCGAATTTCACATGGTTTTCTCCAACATGAAACCACATAGAGTATTTGAGGATCATATTAAACTTCGCGCTTTCCCATTTTTCTTAGTCGATTTGGCTAAGGATTGGTTATTTTATTTACTACTAAATTCTGTTACTATGTGACTGATATGACTCAACTTTTTCTTGACAGATTCTTTATTGCGATGAAAGCAAGCGAATTAAGGAGAAGCATCTTAAGAGTTCGCCAGAAAGATAACGAGTAACTATATGATTATTGGGAACGGTTCAAGAAGTTATGTGCTAGCTGTCCACAACATGATTAACTGAACAAACTCCTCTCCAATACTTTTATGAAAGCTTACTTCCTATGGAGATGAAGATGATTGACGTAACATGTGGAGGAGATGTCGTCAACATGACTCCCGTCGTGACCAGAAATCTGATTTCTACTATGGCTGCCAACTCTCAATTTCGCCCATCCAGTGAACCCTCACGACGGGTTCACGAGATAAGTAATCATTCTCTAGAGGATAAATTGATAAGTTAACTAATGTAATTCAATCTCTCATTGCAGGTAAAATATGACCAACAAGGTTATGTGGAATCTGCGCAATGTCGAATCATCCCACAAACTGTTGTCCAGTGCTTCAAGAAGATACTACGGCTCATGTCGATGCAGTAGGAAATTTTTTGGGACCTTCCCAAAGACCTTATAATCCTCATACCAACACCTATAATCCGGGTTGGAAAAATCATCAGATTTTCAACTATGGACATAATTTGAAACCAAAAATATCAACCAAGACCACCTCTACGTCAATAGTATCAATCGTAAAATCATCCTTAGAG